CGCCAATAAGTCTTCTGGCTCTGCGTTTACCAGAATCAAGAGCCTCAAGTTGATATTTTGGGTGAGCCATCCTACAGGTGATTGCAATAATACATGCAAGATCGGACTTGTGTTTTGTACATTGTTAAGAGTCTATATAACTGGTAAGTATTAATTGTAAGCCTTAAATTGAAATAAACAAACAAGCACATATGAATTTAATTTGAAAGGTGTTAGACCATTGTGTGAGAGCGGATCCTGCATTAGATAGTGTTTCATATAAAAAGAATAAGAGTTGTACTTCATTGTACGTTGTATATAACAAAATACGGAAAGAAGGGAAGAAAGAAAAGTCGGAAAAAAAAGCTAAGCATTGCGAACTAAAACGGTCTTTTATCCGATTTGTAACTTACAAAGCAAACCGACCCAGACAGAAAAAGAGCGGACGCAAGACAGGTACAAAAGTCGACGTTATTTTTATGTTGTAACTTATTCCAAACAATCTATATTACAATAGTGGCTACAATAAGTAATATTTCATCAAGACCTAATAAATCTTCATTATAATTAAAACGTATTAACGTTATCTACAATACAGTGTTAAAAAAATTTGTAAAATTTTAATAACGTAACGTGTCACGCGAAATATGCATCCATAATCACGGCGCAGGCAAATGAGGGGTTGACTTAAAGAACCAAATTGTCTGTTAAATTTTTATGGAAAACTTTAATAGCTTGCATTCCGAGCATTCGAAAGAGGATCTTAGGTGATATTGTAGCGATCTAATCGCGTACATTTTTTTGATTTTGTTTTTCAAACAAACCAACGTTTCGGGTCCTTGAGGGTTGTAAAGAGCCCCAAACGTTGGATTGGTTGAAATAATAAATACAAGCGATTGTGTAGTTATCGCGAACACGTAAGAAATCCATATCGCGTATAATTCTGTACCTCCAGTGTAAAACGGTTAAACTCGAGTTTATCCAAAATGTGGATTTTGATACCATTGCGTGTTTTTCGTAATGCTACATCATTTGTTTTGACACTTGTGGTTATGCGATCATTGGCTGCGAAGCATTGACTTACAAATAAATGGACGACGGGTCTAATACAAAAACCACGAAAAAAATGTCCCGAGTCAACCTATTTAAACGTAGTGACATGTAAAGGAATATGAAAAAACTAAAACGTTGAATTTAAATTGTAATGTCATCGCAGTACTGTCTAATTTTGCTTGCTTCGCTGTCAGTCGAACAAACGAAGACTAAAGCGTGAATGACTCTCTGTATACGATTTTAACGCCCTATAAGTTCGGATACTTTTTAGCGCGGACCCGACGTCCATATAATTGTAAGTCAATGCTGCGAAGGTAACGATTGTGCAAAGGGATTATATTACCAAAAATTTGCAAGTAATTTGTTCCAAATGGTTTATTTTTAATTTATCTCACAAGCAATAGCGATATTCGCAAATCTTATGTTTTGATTATGGTTAACGTCTACTTTTACCTGTATGAACAAATTAAATGTCGTACGAGTGTTGGTGTAAAGAGATGAAACTATATATATTTTGTTTTATAATACCGGCCTAATATTGTGTAAACCGATACTATTTTACTTTGATAACTTTATGATTCCTTTAGATAAACTCTACTTTGACCATTTTATACATTTCCATATTTTGTGTAAAGGGATATAAACAATTTATGTAAGCCAATATCTCTGTCATTTTTGCAAAATACAGGTTCGTTTTACAATCAACTTATTATTTACCCATTATTCTATCTGAAAAGATTTGAAAAAATACATTTTTTTGTGAATGAGTGAGAAAATTCAAAACGAGTTTTCGCTCTCATGTAAAATAACAGTTTTTGAGTTTAACCCATTTACACTGGAGGTACAGAATTGATTTTTTTAACAAACCTACATTTTGGGCTATTTGCAGATCGCATGGTAACGAATGTTGGCCGTGAATTCCATTTCTGGAAATACACGCGTTCTCTCACACACACTCCCACAGATACATAACTACACACACACGTACACGCTTACACACATATACATTAACACTCTTGCACGCTAACACACATACACGTTTACATATATACTTATGCTTCCACGCATAAACGCTTACACTTATACACGAATCTATAAACTTATTCTTTGTTATTTTTTTATATATGGTTTAATTAAAATAATTAATAGATTCAGGCGTTACTTTGCGGAAGCCCGTGTTAATAAAAATGGAATTAAATTAATTTGCTATTCCGCGAATTGACATCACTGTCAAATTTAGTGTAGGTATCATCATCATATACAGCCTGATTTCACCCACTGCTGGGTATAGGCCTTCAAGTTTCTGTGCCACTTCCCACGATCCCGTGCTAATGTCATGCAGGTAGATATACTTAATAGCAATACGAGTTGGGGTGCCTAGAAACCTAAAACACACATCTAGTTTAGATTCCGGTCTCTTACAAATTTGGTCATTTATTGAATAAAACCTGTTTTTGTAACAAATACTTTGCAACCAAAATTTTTGGAGATAAATAAATTTATTATTATAAAAAAAGAACATACGCGATTTAGCTCCCAAAATATAGTTTAATTTTAAATAAATTTATAAAATTTACAAGATAATAAAGTAACATCCCAGGATTACAATGCGCTTTACGTAAATAATATAAATAATCATAAAGAAATTACTGTTGTTACTGTACTCTTCTAAGTATATAAGAAGAAATCGAAAGAACTCCTCTGTCCCCTTTTTTTTATAACACCAAGTGACAGAACGAACGAGTCGTGCACCTGATGGTGCCCCATTCATAACAACTGCATTACCTACCATAATTATTAATACAAAGATCAAACACTCAGAAAACATTCCTTCGATCCGGCCGGTTTCGAACCGACGTCTTCTAGCATACCGTGCCAGACGCTATACCAACTAAGCCACGGAACGAACCAGCGGACCTCACGAATTTATCTATGTGCTTGCGTCGTATCTTTGTAGTTCGGTTTTTCAACGACTTTTCATTAATAATCATAACAAGCTAGTGGAGTAATTTCACATAAAATAATTGAATATCAATTCAATAAAAATTTAACTGTTTTACCACTCAGAGCTTTAATCGCAAAAATCTGAGGAATACTACCACTGCGCACGTCACCCTGAGACATAAGTTGACAAGTCCCATGTGTGTAAGCCCGTAGTTAAATTCGTTATCCTGATTCCGTTCTGCTATTTAATGTATTCAAAACGCTTCTCACAAGCGTTGACCAGGGCGACAAAGGGCCAATTTAGTTAAATATGCTTTAAACATTCTATTCAAAATTTAAATTTATGACCACATTTATTAAAGACTTGTCTGGAAGAAGGCGTAATTTGTGGCTTAAGAATCTCCGGACATGTTTCAACCTAAGCACAAGATCCTTGTTCCGTGCAGCTGTGTCTAAAATACAGGTAGCCCTAATGATCGCCGACCTCCAGCTGGAGATGGTACCTCAAGAAGAAGAAGAACCACATTTATAAACAATATGGTGCGACATCACAGACTGACGGACTCAGAAGAACGGACGGGGCGTTGAGGTCAGGCTTGTGTGATAAAGAAAGCTTCAGAACAAGTTTTACAACAGGCAATATATAAGTGAACAATTGAATGTTGCGTCATCAAATTATAACGATGGTAATGGGGGTAGTGGGGTATAAACACGGTCAAATGTTTTGCACGAGCTCGTTTAATACTTCGACTCTGCTCCTCACCGTCCCAATCCCCTCGTGGTGTCTGCATTCAATTACGTCTCCATCAGGGAACATCCCCACCGCGTACGTAGGTCACGTTGGCGCAGAGTCAAGGTCGTAGAACCCCTCATTCCAGCACGTACACTAGTAGATTCTCTACTACAGCACGCGGAAGTTCCCAGTAGCGCCCTGAGCCAAGGTCCGTGTCCACTTGGGCGCCCTCAGTCGCGATACTTAGTTTGTAGTTTAGTTTGAGTTTTAACGGATTATATTATTTATATATTATATTGTTATTATTGATACAAAGATCGAATAACCACAAAGAAAAATTCCTTGGATCGGAAACAGCGACCTCGTCAAACCGGGGCTACTAGCTACGGGCTAGTAGCTAGGGGCTACGGAGCACTAGCTCGGAAAGGCTTTCTTTCTTATTAGAAATCTGCACGCAAAAGCGTTTTTAACTCGACGATAGACTGTGCTGCCCTTATTGTCATAACTAACACATTCGCATTTCGGAACTTTCGATATATTGGCACCTAAAGCTGCACCTAAAGCTTTATTGTCACCTAAAAAAAGTCACTTACGCTGTTTTCACTTAACAATAAAACTGAAACTAATAAGGATAATAAAAAAACCGATTAGATGGAATTGCAGATCGTGTTTCGCTGATCCCAGACATGTCCGTCATCGCATTTCGTTAAAAATGCGATGACGTTACTTAAGGATAGCAGTGTGGTGCACCTAACTTTTGCTTCCGATGAAAAAAAAACGTAATGACACATTCAACTACGCGATTTGCCGTACATTATTTATGTAACATAAATCCTAAATATATTTTATTCTTATTATTGTTGTCATTAAATTGACAACGATAACTAACATTGTTTATTAAATTATTTTGTTATAGTTAAACTGTTTTTCATCTACCATTTTCCTCGCTATAGTGAAGTCAAAAGTTGTGTGTTTCGCCCGGCAGCGAAGCTGTTTTGCGTCTCTTGTCTTGAAACCCTCGCTACGCTCTGGATTCAATACAAACACTTGCGTCAAACAAATAAGGAAAATATTCAACACGTATTAATAAAGAAAGCGACCTCTGCCTATACTTATAATTTTTAAGTGACGGGACGAACAAGTTTGATGGTAAGCGACACGCCTGTCCATGGCAACTGCAGTGCCACTCAGAGTTTTAGATCGTAAAGATAGGTACTGCCACCGCGACTATCACCCTGAAACATAACAAGTCCCTTGTGCCTGTGATTTCACTAGCACCGTGGATCTACAATCACTTTGAGAATGGCCTCTTTTCATCCAGAAATTCCATCTTCCTAACATAAAAAATCACATGTTACATTCATGTACAAAAGAAGGTTACATATACCACCATTAGCGGAGATTGTTAGCTGTGTGCGATCGCACGTGTTATTCAATTACGACACAAACGTCACATTTGGCAGTTAATGACGAGGTTATTACAGGTTTGTATTATTTGATCACAAGTAAAAGTAATTTTGTTTTATCGAATAAAGTTGGTTCATTATAATATCATTACGAGTTACGAGGCATTTGGAACTTTGTATTCTTTAATTTGAGAACGGTTGAAGTGAGTTTATTTATTTATATATTGAACTTTATTGACCTGAAATATGATGGTACAAAAGGCGGACTTAAGGCTAAAAACGTTCTTTAGCAGTCAACCTTTGAGAAAAACGAAATTTACGAACGCGCCAAATAAAATAAAATGTTACGTTTTATGGAGTTGTGTCATACTTGTCTTGTTTATACTGTGCTAATACCATCTCAGTTAACCGTGATCATGATCCCTGTAAAGATGTTGGTTTATTTAAAAAAGAAGTACAGTGCTTCTATTTTCTCAATGTCCCTCGGCAATCATCGGATTTCCAAATGCACACGAATATTAATTTTCATGCCCCCTAATTATTATTAGATTTAAAATTTATAATAATTTGAATTTTGAACAACTTTTTTTGTTGTTTTGCATTGATTTCCATGTGAACTATATAGAGCTGTAAAACTATTTCCCTGTTTTGAATAACATTTACTCCATGTCTATAAGCAAGTTAACAAAACTAAAGTGTGCTTCTTTTATATAACTAAAAATGGATACATTATACTTGGTCATTTCATTTCTATCTGAATCTCAACGCATATCTCCATCTGGCGTAGCTACGTTTGTATGTTCGCCATCGATGGAATAATCCCTTACGCGCTTCTCGAACAGGTATATAATATAAAATTGTAAATAATAAAAATGATAATATCTAGTTCTTAGGTTTGCGCGATTGTTACACATAGGAAATGAAACTATTTTTCCGGATTTAAATTGTGTATATTTGTTTTATCAAACAAACCGATGTTTCGGGCCCTTTACAGGTCCCATGGTCACGGTTGACTGTCAACCGAATAAAACAAATATACGCGATTTAAATCCGGAAAAATGATAATGTAAATACTTGTAATAAATAAAAAATTTAATAACATTTATATACTTCCAAGTCGACTGCAAGCGTCCGGTCTGCACCAAAGGCAAACGGCAACTGAATAAAACCCGACGTCAACCGAAACACGAAGTTTGCCGAGGGATATTGAGAAAATAGAAGCACTGTATAAACGTTACGTATTGTTGCATTTATGGTTTAAGACATTTATTCTCACTAAGAATTAAACAATTCACTTACATGAGAACACAAAGAAACTTAATATAAATATTTTTAGAAAACGTACTTAGGGACGGTAGTCAGCTAAAAAATTATAAAATTTTACCATCGTACAATTTTACTGACAGACAACACATTCTCAGGTGCAAATGGCTAGCACCACCACAGATGTACTTCCAAACCACGCCCGCAAGCTATACTAGATGTGACATACATATATTAATATAGTTTCCCTATTAGAGTTTTATTTTTAACAAAAATGAAAATTTATTTGTTTTATATGTATATATGTTTACTTATTTATTTATTTTTTACTAGTAAAAGGTGTTTTAATGATTTTTATTATTAAAAAAAATAAAATAAAAAAAATAAAAATCATTTATTTCGGACTTGCATCCATATAAGTGTTAGTAACAATTTGCTTAATCCTATGTTAGTGCCTTATAAAAATATTATTATTGTAACTTAACCTAACGTCTTTGGCGAGATGGACGCTGGTCCAGTGTCGCATAATCGCACTGTCCACGTCCAATCTCGCCGCGACCGTCTGCAGGAGGCTGTTGGGGCTGCCACGCACACGATAGATTAGAGAAGCGATGCTCTTTCGGATGATAGCTGAGAAACTATCAACCTCAACCTCCGCTAACATACCTGACGCGCTGCAGTAGCGTGGCAGCCCCATCAGTCCCCTGAAGGCATTGTTGTACTGAGTGCGCAGGGCCTTGTACGCTCCTTGGGAGTAATTCATCCACAGGCTACACGTGTACAACGAGTTACAATACGCTTTAAACAGGGTAACTTTCACCTGTGTTGCACAGCGTGCAAACCTGCGGGCGAGCATATTGGCTCTAACGCACAAAGCCCTACGCTCTCGCTCCATGTCCACATCATCCCTAAGCGACTCGTCGACCCAATGACCCAGATACTTAAAACTCGGTACTTGCTTGAGAGGAGTGCCATTAAGCCTAACAGGTGGAACTTTGTAGGTCTTGTATTTAGTTTTGAAAACTAGCAGCTCACTCTTAGCAGAATTGTACCTGAGTCCGTGGGCCTCCGCATATCGCTCACAGATGCTTATGAGTTTATGGAGTGCACTGATCGATGGGCACAGCAGCACCATGTCATCGGCGTAGCTTAAATTGTTCACAAAGGTGCCGTCAATAGAACAGCCAACACCAGCGCCACTGAGTTCAACGATCAGCTTGTTCATATACAAGTTGAAAAGCGCTGGTGAGCTAATTCCACCTTGCCTCACACCACTTTCCAACCTGTACAAGCTTGAAAGTTCTCCAGACCACCTTACATAATTTTGCTGGTGAGAATACCAGTACTCCAGGATCGAGATATATTCTTGAGGCAGATTGGTGTCCTCAATAAGTTTCTTCCATAGAATATCATACTGAACTAGGTCGAATGCCTTCGACAAGTCCAAAAACACAGCATACACCGGCGTATCCCTAGCAGTGTAGTACTGGACAGTCTGCTTGAGGCACAAAACAGCAGCTTCGGTAGAAAGCCCAGGCCTAAAACCAAACTGTGCATCGTGGAGCTTGACACAAGTACCTAGCTCCTGATCAAGCAGTCTATCCAGCACCTTTGCCACAATAGTCGCCAGGGATATTGGCCTATAGTTGGACCTGTCACCTGCATTTCCAGTTTTATTTTTGACAATAGGTACAACTATGGTTTTTAACATGCTGTCTGGTAAGTAGTCGTGATTCAGGCAAAGAGAGAAAAACATTGCTAAGACTCGCGGTAGATGAACCCCTGCATACTGCAGGTGCTCAATACTTAGGTGATCATGTCCTGGTGATTTACCTTTACTCATTTTTCTCAAAACAGATCGAATATCCTTTGCCCCAATCAAAACCCCCTTTTTTCCGGTACGGTAACTATTACAATTATGATAAACATTATCAACCCTATTATAACCCACAGTAGGTTGGACCCTAAAATGTTCTTTGAACATTTCAGCTATCTGCGAGGGTTCGCTTAATCCGTCTACGCTTACTGGAGCACTTGGTTTCGGACTCAACCTTTTTGTGTGTTTCCAGAAACTAGAAAAATTTTTATTTGCATGGTTAACAGCTAAGATATCCATTTTGATCTGTCGCTCATTTGTTTGACACCATTTTAATTTTGCTTTAAAAACATTTCTAGAAACACGCATCTTATCGTAAACAAACCCATCTCTGGGCTTATTATACAGCACCCAGTACTGAAACCATAACCGAGCTTCACTATGAGCGGCTTTAACATGCTTATTCCAACCACAGACATATTTCTTTTTACAATAAAACTTTTTGTTCTTACAGCTATACACTGCGGCTTTCTTTAAAACATCTATTATACGATCATATAAATTTAATAGTACAATTTTATGATTAGGGTCATTACACACCGTATCTGCACAACGCGATAACACAGAAGGAAAATCTATCTGTTTCAGCTTTTCATTACAAAAATCCGTGTATTGTGACATCTGTGAACCATCACGCTCTCCCCATAAAACATTACTGTTGTGATTACTACAAAACGTAGTTTTAGGTATTAATACATTGAGGCTACATTGTATTTCTAGGGGAAAATGGTCTGACCAAAACACACTATGATTAATTAACACCTTGTCAACTGTATGCCTAGCTGCTTGGGTTACTACACAATGATCTAGCCAACTACTAGTACCGTGACTGTCACTCACATAGGTATAGGATCCCGACTCCAGTCCGAGTAACTCCATGTCCACACAAGTCCATTTCTGGTCCGCACAGAAACTTTGTAGTTCGTTACCGAAACGCCTACCCGGATGAGCATTGAAATCACCAAGAATATAGCTATAATCGATTTCACAACTGTCTATTATGGCATTTATTTCACTTAGACAATGCGTAAACTCAACCAAATGCGCCTGGTCATCGGTGGGCATGTATACTGAAAACACTAGAAAAGAGCACTCCGCAACAGAAACCTTTACGGCTACTATACGATCACTAGCGCACGGCACAGCTGTTACGGCACTAAATACGTTTTTCCGCCACAGAATAGCGACCCCGCCGAAGGGACGCCCGCGCAGAACGCCCGCTGATACATCGACGGCCGACTTCCCAATGTATTCGAAGTCACGATCTACGGCGCCCAGCAGTGGAATGTCGTGTGGTAAAAGACACGTCTCTTGCAGTGCAATCAAATGCGACGATTTACACAACGTTCTTATGCAATCCATAGACCTTACCAACGATCTACAGTTGAAAGTTACAAACTTGGCTTTGTTGTTGGCTTTATTGTTCATTATTGTTTTTTATTGCTTTCAAGATTAACATCAGTTTTTCCAGTACTTCTCCTGAAATCAACAAAACGTCTAAAAGAAACTCCTTCAGGCCACAAACTATCATTCAAAAATAACGATAATTTATTCTTTGGTACATAAACAATGTAGGCGTTGTATTGTTTTTGTTCTTTGGAGTGAACTTTTCTCAAGCTCACGTCTACGTACGTTCTACTTTTAATATATTCAATAATATCGACTTCCTTTGTATCCTTGTCCACATTATTAATAAACAAAGGAATATTTACATTCGCTGCCTTAAACTTCTCCTGTGGATTCGATGACGCTTTGCCCTGGGCAGGTATAAAACGATTTCTATGTCTTTTCCGCTGAACTTGTATCCAGTCGTGGTCACGAGGCACTTGTTTCGTTTCTTGTTCACAACTATCACCAACGAAATCCGCCAGTGTTTTATGCTTCGTCATCGTGACCGGCGAGGAAAAATGCACTTTATTACCGTTGCATAAGGACACTTCACCCAACAGCTCAGCCGCGGCGCCCTTATCAATAGACGCCGGCAGCAAAGGTGATTGTTTTGTTTTATTTTCAATTGAGCGTGATTGAGATGGAGATCGCTCATGGTCCAAGCAATCAGCTACCTCATTATCTTGCTGTGGTGATAACGGTATGTGCGGTAGTCCAAACGGTCCGCTATCATAACACATACTATTTTGACACCCACCGCCTCTTCTTAAATTCACAAAACGATCCGGTTTATCAATAATTGATGCATGTTTAGCATTAAGCAACTCCGCCTTTATCTCCAGCACTTGTTCTTGAGTAGCATAGGTGTCCTTGATTAATTGCAGTTCGTTTTTTAGCAAAATCACATCCTTTAAAAGTCTTGATGCATCAATATGGTCGAATGTCAACGGTGGCAATTTCTGTAACTCTTTGGCCACAAACACGGGTAACTCGTCTGGATTCGTCTCTTTAAAAACAGCTATGACATCATGGAGATCCTTAAATGATTTTTTCGCCTTTTTTCTTGATATTTTTCGCTGTGATACCGCCGAAAACAACAAGCTTTTGGCGACATCAATGTCTTCTTCCGAAAAACTAGATAAACACAGAGTCACTAGCGATTTTTCGTCCATAACATCTTGCTTGTTTTGTATGAAAGCAAGAAGTTCACAAATAACTATATTACACGACGAACACTTTAGCGTAGATGACATCGTGACTCACCATACACAGCGTGCGCATTGATTGCGTCCGCCCGCTAGCGCTTAACGACGCGCACTGATTATTATTTATTTATTTTTTATTTTATTTATTTTTTATTTATTATATAGGTATTTATTTATTTATTTATTTTTTTTAATCTATTTGTTTCATAATGTATTTAATAATACATTATATAATAATAATTTATTATTCAGTACTTTTTCGTATTTATTAGAAGAGTAAATTTAAGTTTAAATTTTGTTACTCAATATTCGAAATTACGTAGTATTTTAAAAGTTTTTTGAATGTAATTAGTGATTGTGTTTCTTTTATATCATTGGGAAGTTTATTATATAGTTGCGCTCCCTCAAATAAGATATTCTTTTTTCCATAATTTGTTCTTGATGGCCGCAGGACTAAATTATTTGCATTTCTTAATTGAATTTTTTGTATTTGTTTCTTTTTTGTGAAGGCTATTATTTGTGTATGTATATTTTTAGTTAATATTTTACGTATCAATAAACAAGTATAGTACATGTAGGTTTGGGTAACATTTAAAATTTTAGTATTTTTATATATATTCTTAGTAGGCGTACGGTAGTTATATCTAAACAGGACCTTTATTAGTTTGTTTTGTGCTCTTTGTATTGGGTTTAAGTTTGATTTTGCTGCTGAGCCCCAGATCTCAATCAAATAGTCAATGTGTGGTTTAATTAAAGAATTGTATATGAAGTAACACACTCTGCGTGGAAGACATCGAGTGATACCTCTTAAGGCTCCAGTAAGAGAGGATAGTTTAGATATTATTTTTTCAATGTGAGGCTTCCACGTCAGTTTGCTGTCAACAATGAGCCCCAAGTATTTTTCACTATCGATTCTATTTATTTTTAGGTTATTTAAAGTTAAGGGTTCGTAATCGGAGATTTTTTTGTTTTTTGCTTTGAAAATAATATAATTTGTTTTAGCAACATTAACAGTTAGAAGGTTATACTGGAACCACTCATTAAGTAATTTAAGATCATTTTGCGCATCAGCAACAATAGTTTCTATTGAACTTCCAAAGTAAAACAAACATGTGTCATCAGCATATAGAGTGACGTCACCTTTAAGATCAATTTCATGTAGATTATTTATATATATCAAAAATAATAAAGGTCCCATAATAGACCCTTGGGGTACGCCGTGACTAATAATTTTAGGTTGACTTTGTTGGTTTCCTATCCTTAAGACCTGTTTACGATTCGATAGGTAGGATTGTAGTATATTATACGCTGTTCCAGTTATGCCAGCTTTATTGAGTTTTTCCAATAATATGTCGTGACTCACGGTATCGAAGGCCTTTTTTAGGTCTATGAATATACCTAATGCTATATTTTTCTTATCCAGATTACATTTTAGCTTAGTTATAAGATCCATTGTTGCTGAGAGAGTGTTCGATTTCGGTCTGAAGCCATACTGTTTACTGTACATGAAATTAATAGAGTTTAAATATTTTTCAAATCTATTGTATAGAATCTTTTCAAAAATTTTAGACAGAATAGGAAGAACCGATGAACAGCCTATCTTACAAGGTAAGGAATATCAGCCGGATTACAGTAACAGAATCTCAGTTTCAATTTAAGTTCACT